TATAAATATATAATTATAATATTGTTTAGATTACAACTCAACATGTAGGTAGGCACGTGACTTCAAGCCACATCCTCAGTAATGCGTAGAAGCGCGTTACTTTGCGATATCAATAAATCGCTTCTTCTGTTCGTTCTCCGAATCCAGTGATTCCACAACAAAAATTAACTCTTAGACTATAATAATACGTACTTTTATCTATAAAAAGCAATAAAATCTAATCAAAAATTTAAATGGGGTCGCGACACCCGTTCCAAAATCCACCCAAGGCCTTGCTGGCGATTCGTCCGTCTTCCACAAGGATAGCACGGCAGCATAAGTACACTGGGCCAGGACTCAACACCATTCCCCGTTCACCGCATTTGCATGCGGTCATATTGTTTGTAAGCGAAAGCTTCGTGCTCCGTCAATGGGGCACATTTTGTAGTATGGATAAATTTGAATTCAAAAATCTACAGCACAGCAATACCCTCACATATGACAAATAACATATTATAAAAACGTTCTATCCCTTGAATTGCTGGAGTACCTTCTATGGGATAAGAGATGGAAAATATCAGCCTTGCGGAGGGATAAAAGAAGAACAAGAGTCAGTGGTACACACCTCCAGCGCAGTGTTAACATGTCGAGCCTCTACGACTCTCTCGTTGTCATTGAGTGCCGTAATGTCAGCTTCTGCGGCTAGACGGTTGAGGAATAGGGCATAGTCGAGGTACAGCTATGTCGTGAATTCGGTTCCGGTGAGATGGGATTGTGCAACGGAGTTTCGGGGGGATTTGCGCAAACGTTTCCATGCGTACCATAACATCGACGTTTTTCGCCAGCTGAGACTTTGGCTGGTGGGCCTTGACGATCTTCTTGATGGTGGAGCGGGTGTAGAGGCGAGTCATTTGTTGTGGCTCATCCCTGAATGGACGGCAATTGTTTATTTATATATGCAGTGACGTCATCATACTCGCGAAATTACATGGGCTCTAGCAGAAATATTTTTTAGACTCCTACAATATGAAAAATAAGATGGAAATACTTTTATTTTTCCGGTTATCTTTTACTGGGAATTAGCGGATTATGCGGTCATTAACGGAAGAGAAGGGATGTGAATCGAACCACGAAGAATGTTAGTAACAGTTTACCACTACAATAATAACATTTAAAAAAGGGGTGCGATCGGGCCCACACGGCGGGGACCTGATTATCAAAAAACACAATTCCGAATTATCTTTACCAATTAACAAGTCAACAAAAGGGGCAGCGAAGAAATATATCGAGATGTGATGATTGTATGTGATTTCGGTGAAAGATAACCAGCTATCGCTTGGATGTGGTGTTGTAGTGGATGAGGTGAGTGGTACATAATGAGGCACACGCGCGACCACATGCCAAAAATTCGGCAAAAAAAGAAATCATGCTAGCTGCAGGGTTCGAACCTGCGACATTGACCGTTCTTCACATCATCATTATATGTAAAGGTCACGTGATAACCACTACACTAAGCCAGCTTTATTTCGTTGTCACTTGCAACAATATATATACCTTCCCCATGTGCAAAAGCGTCGATTTGTGGTTCAAGGCACTTTTGATCGGATCTCCTGGTCGCGAGTCAATTGTCGCGTCGCATTCGTATCGTCGCGTCGCCGTTCGTCTCATGGAGCTGATGCGCAGAGGCTGGCTGGGATCAGATCGATCCTTCGTTGCCCCAGATGGTGGGCGGCCATTGGACGCGGTGTTGCCCATGTCTTGGAGCGCGCTCGCCCGACATTATAGCACCCGGTGCCGGTCGGACGTATCGTATGGATGGTCCTATTTTTATTTTATTTTTGCAGGTCGGAGTCATAAATGCTGGGATGTCCAATCTTATCAACCTGCCCCAAGAGTTCTATTCATAGAAGGAGCCGTAGCCCCTGAGCCCGTTGAGGAAGGATCGCCAAGGGGGCTCAAACCTCACGACCGGAAGTACGTCGGTTGCGAAGGCTGCCGCAGTTCGACCAGTCATTTATAATACAAATAAGGCACAGGTGACGAGGGATCAAACATTAAAGATGGGATAGAGAAGCTTTGGCAGCATATTTTTATTTATTTATCACAGACGTTGAAATTGGGAGTATATGTTTGATAATCCACAATTACAAAAAAAAAAAAAAAAAAAAAAAAAAAAAAAAAAAAAAAAAAAATCCCGAATTCGAGTAATTTCACTGACTTAATTAGTTTCGATAGGCAAATCAGAAGTATTTTTCACGGCAAAAGCAATTCCCCTACGGGAACGAGTATGCTGAGTGTAGTACAGGGCGCAGATAACAGACATGACGTGGAGGTCGAATATGTGAGGAGATTGCAGGAATGAATAGATCTGGTGATGAGATTGTATGGAAGATAGATTTATTTCTGATTTTACCTTGCATTCAATAGTCACGCCGATTTTTTTTTTTTTTTTTTTTTTCCTAACTTACTGTTTGATGGTCTCCAGCGTAGTCTTGCCCAAATTACGTACACTTTACGTCCCCCCTCCCAATGCCGACGCGGGGTCTACAAGAAAGTGAGCGATTTACAAGACAACATCTTTACTGATTTATGATCTCCAACAAAGCTCACCGTCGTCGGCACCCGTTGACGCGACGGCGGTTCCAGCGATCGGAAGATGATGAATAAACAACAAGAAAGTCTACAGCGTGGCGTGGGGGAATGTACATGGAAAAGGAAAGAGAAAGAAAATACGAGAGAAGGGGAGGAGGAATGAGCAAAGGAGGCGAAAAGGGCGGGTGCCCATTGGAAGACAAAAATGCACTGGAAAAAAAAAAAAAAAAAAAAAAAAAAAAAAAAAAAAAAAAAAACGTGAACAGGTAAATGGAGAAGAAAGGAGAAAAGTCGAATGATAGACATTGTTCTCGGACTATCGCATGAATATTACAAGATTACAAGGAAAGTAGGGAAGGAGATGAGTGCAAAGGAGGAACCTTCCAATCTTTCACGAGAAGAGTAACATAGGCAAAGGAAAAAAATGCAAAGTTTGATGACTCTGAATGTCCGTTTGACAAAGGCAAAGGGAGATGTGCGTGCGAATAGCGGGAGCCGCAAAAAGGAAACGCGCCCGAAATCGCTACCACCGGGCTCGACGGCTACATCCACTTGTACGTCCCCGCCACGCCACCACCATCCAACATAAACCCAATGATTCGTATGTTCCTCCTACTACACCAACCATCCCCCGTCTTTATCACGCCAGTGTCCAAACCAAATCACGACCCCTGACTCTCCTTACATTTCTTCCCTTCTCGCCCTCCTCTTACATGGCGGTTCGTAATTATTCCCATACTGCTCCGTATTCATCGACCGACCCAAAAACATGAACTCGGTGGGCGGGGCGGTGTACCTCCTTTTGAACGGGTTTTCTCCACCATTCGGCTGCTGCTGACCGAGGCCTCCAAGATCATCTGCGCCCGGTAGCGCCTGGGGCACGGTGGGAAAGCTGAACGTGAACTGGGCGATGTCCGGGTTAAAGAGAGCGGGAAAGCCTGGTTGTTGCTGTTGCTGTTGCTGATGCTGTTGCTGTTGGTGGTTAAATGCGAGCTGGGAATGCCCAAATTGATGGTGGGTTGTCGGCGTTGGCGGTTTGTGCGATGGCTGGTGCTGCTGTTGTTGCTGCTGTTGTGGCGCAGGACGTTGCGGGGGGGACATCCCCGGTAGCGTTTGAACGGCGGATGGCGGGGGCCCGGCGGCAGGCTGCGGGGCGGAGGACACGTCTTGGTCGTTGTTTTTGTGGGCCTCTGACTGGAGCTGTGCGTTCTTGGATCTGGCAAAGTTGAGCAAATCTTGGACAGGAATGGCGGACTGGTCGGAGCCAACGAGGGTGGCCGGATGAGAGGTAAGGAAGCCATAGAGGTCCTGCAGGCACTGTTCGTAGCCGGCGGCGTAGGCGCGGCGGTTCTGGCGTAGTGAGTCCTTGTACAGCTGCGTGACAGAGAAGGCGGCCGCCTTGAAGGAGGCCATGAGGGCGTGCTCGCTGGATTCGTATGAGTCCAGGAGCGGGTAAGGCTGGGCAGGCTGGGCAGGTTGCGGGTGTTGAGCTTGGCCAGAGGTGTCCATCATGCCAAGGGAAGGGGGGGAGAGGTTGGTGTACTTTTGTGGCGGTGTGGGGTGGGTAAAGATTCAGATGTGGGAAAGGGATCAATAAAGACAGATTCGGTAAGGATGCAATGGGTTCTGCGAGTATGTGTATTCTCGTTTGTTAGAGAGAGAGGGGAAGTTGTTCTTGGTGTGTTCGCTAATGGGAGAAGCGCAGTTCAGCTTAGCGGGAACAAATAAATAATCGTGCGTCAATACTAACGGTCACATGATCTTCCAACATCTCTCCGCATCTCTTCTAGGCCAAAGCCTCCGCCACTTTAAATTTTCTGAATGCGGCAAATTGAACAAGTTGTATCTATTTTACAAGGACGATAAAAAATAAATCCCTCCTCTCTCTCACTTTTTCCAGTCTACACTAAAACACGGCATTTCGATCCCCAATCTTGAACCCTGGCGATCTATTCCCGCTCGTGGCCCCGGGCGGGTACGGGCTCTGCGGCACGGGGGGTATTGATCCCGGCGCGATCTGGCCTGGCGAACTCGGCGCAAAGGAAGGGGATGGCGGCGGTGGTTGTTGCTGCTGCTGCTGTTGTAACGGCGGCGAATCCTGGATGAGGGCAACGGGCCGCATTGTGCGTTTGTTGCTACGGGATTCATATTGAATCTTGGTGAGTTCTGTAGTTACAATTTCGTGGTTAATGAAATTGGCGCCATGCCCGAATAAATTTCAATGACAACTCATCCCAAACACCGATCACCACGAAACAATCCCTGAGCATGATGTCACACACCTTTTAGATGCATCTCAAGCGAGAATGAGTAGGCATAATTCGCCGCCGTCCACCCTTGGCGGTTAGCCAGGTTAGCATTGCATCCACGGTCGATCAGGATCGTGACGCACTGAACAGGAGCGCAAGATCGATTTCAGCGAAATCTAAAATGGGACACACAAGACATCGAAATTGATCCTCATGCCCACTCACCTTGGAATGACCCCACCCGGCCGCGTAGTGTAACGCCGTATTGCCTTCGTCATCCACGTGGTCGATGTCGGCGCCCCAGTCGAGTAGGAACTGTGGGTGGATGCACGGTCCGCAGGAACTTATGAACAAACGAGGACTGCGGAGCATGCTTAGCACTACATACTCTTAGCACGATATACTCTAGCTCAATTTGATAAAGGATTCTCCCCCATCCAAACCTTAACGCTCACCACCGGCCCTCTTAAAACATCCCATCCGACTGTCCCCATTCCGCTTTCCGCAGACACGTCAAACATACAGTGAGCAGGTCCTCGTTTCCCATCTTCGCCGCGAATAGCAACGCCGTCCACCCGGCGCGGTTGGTGGCGTGAATGCTGGGCGGGTAGTGTTCCGCGTAGTTATAAAATATCTATGACATGTGGAAGAATGAAAGTCAATACCATTCGCACTTATTCGAAGAAAAAAAACCCCCCGCCTCAATAATCCGAGAAAGAAATCGCGTCAGTATGGAATGGACACGTCACGCACCTCGTCCTGATCGTACTGCACGGCGAGCATGAGCACGGTCGTGCCTTCCCCGTCCTATTTGGACGACGAAGTGCGAAAACGAGCTCTCTTAGCCTTCGCGTTTCCGCACGCCCGCACCACTCGACTTTGTTACGACGCAACCC